AACTCACAACACTATTATGTTAGATGATAATTATTCTGTTAAGGAAGTGTCTCAAACTAAATATCTTGGAACCATAATTGACCAACATTTAAAGTGGCAACCGCATCTTGATTATGTATCGAGTAGAGTTAGACAATTATTCCATAAATTTTATCTACTGCGAGAGCTTCTCGATAAAAAAAAATTGATAACAGTTTATAAAGCATTTGTTGAATCTATAATTCGATATGGGATATTAGTATGGGGCGGATTTTATAATAATGATCTACATAAACTCATTATTATTCAGAAATATATGTTATTAAAATTATTTTTAAGAAAGATAAAATGTTCCCCACTAATAAACTTTTTACAAAGGATATGTGCAATATTAGAACCTTGTACGCGATGACAGTAAGTAAATCGTAACTACTGTATTCGTGCAAATGTGGGTAGGCAAATAGAAATTCTCAATAATAATAATTACCTAAACTTAAGACACATAAAGTATATAGTACCAAAGATATATAACATTCTGCCAGAGCACTTGAAAAAGACGAAAAGTATTAAAACATTTAGCACCAGCTGCAGAGAATATATTTTTGAGAATGCTGCACAATTTGAAAGGTGTTTCTGATGATGTTTTTGAATCATAGTGCGATTGATTTATTGTTCGGGATATTGGCGTTGATTATTGTTATTTTTTATTTTTTTGTAATCTAATAAATAGAATTTTCTTTTCATTTCTAAGTCCGGATGATGAAAGCACATACAGGTGGTTTGAACCACCTAGGTGCATCTTTCTGTCATCGGGATGTCCTTGATGAAGAGGAATTATATTGTTGTGTTATATCCTTATATGTGTTTATATTCTTTGTATATAATTTTTATTAAATATTATTATTAAATAAAAATAAATAGATAAATAAATCAGCATATAGTCTCTTATCTTACAATAGTAGCGGAGTCCAAAAGCAAATTATCAGATTAATGTTTTGAATGAAACATCGCGATTCATGTAGAGAAGTTTTTAGATCCAAGGAACTTTTCAGCATCAATTGAATCATTTTAAAATGCATCACTTATGTTAAAATATACTTATGACAACCTTCTAACGAACATTAATAGTTATCATGAATGTAATACTATAGTTAGAAATCAAAATTTAAATGTAAACTGTGGTTCTATTGTTAAGAAGCTGCTGACCTCAGTGATACTAGGCACCTATTAGACATAATAAGTCACACATATTTTCCCTACATCTGCCGTGGAATTTTATTTATTTATTAAAACATTTAGTGCCAGCTGCAGAGAATATATTTTTGAGAATGCTGAACAATTTGAAAGGTGTTTCTGATGATGTTTTTGTATCATAGTGTGATTGATTTATTGTTCGGGATATTGGCGTTGATTATTGTTTTTTTTTAATTTTTTTTGTAATCTAATAAATAGGATTTTCTTTTCATTTCCAAGTCCGGATGATGAAATCACATACAGGTGGTATGAACCGCCTAGGTGCATCTTTCTGTCATCGAGATGTCCTTGATGAAGAGGAATTATATTGTTGTGTTATATCCTTATGTGTGTTTATATTCTTTGTATATAATCTTTATTAAATATTATTATTAAATAAAAATCAATAAATAAATAAATCAGCATATAGTCTCTTATCTTACAATAGTAGCCGAGCCCAAAAGCGAATTATCAGATTAATGTTTTGAATGAAACCTCACGATTCATGTAGAGAAGGTTTTAGGTCCAAGGAAGTTTTCAGCATCAATTGAATCATTTTAAAATGTATCACTTATGCTAAAATATACTTATGACAACCTTCTAATGAACATTGATAGTTATCATGAATGTAATATTATATTTAGAAATCAAAATTTGAATGTAAACTGTGGTTCTATTGTTAACAAGCTGCTGATCTCAGTGATACTAGGCACCTATTAGACATAATAAGTCACACATATTTTCCCTACATCTGCCCTGAAATTTGCTTTATATATGATATGCAGAGGCCAAAGATTCTGCGTAACCTACCCAATCACGATTAGATTTCGCCTTCCGAAAAGATTTGACTCATCCCCTTTCTTTGAAACCTCCAACGAAGGCGTAGGAAGTATAGAGTAGTCAATCTGATTGATGCCATTTTCTTTATGTTCTATTATCGACCATCATGTGCACGGAGACTTTCTGAATGGTGGTAAATACAAAAAATGTAGTTCAGCAGATTGTCCGAGTATTCCCTAGACGTTCCTATATAATTTTTTCTTACATCTTCTGGTGTTAATTTTCCATGTATTATCGTTTTTGATAGATTATACCTTCTTTTTACGTATTTTTCTCCGTCTTTGTGGCGGTAAAGTCCATTGGATTCGTTCCTGGAACAGATTGCTAATGTTATAAATCTAACGTGGCAAAAACTCTTGAATGAACAATTATGTTCCGCCCTCGTCGAAGTAAATATTTAGAATAAATATCGTAGTACCCTCGTAGTAGTACCCAACCACCATGATTTCAAAGCGCGCACGCAGAGAAGGATAGCGGCACCGCGCCCCTTCCCCCTCCCTTTCCTCCTCTGGCCGCCTTTAAACCTTCATTCCTTGTTCTCGTGCCCGACCGTCAAGACTTTAATCGTCGCGCGTTTACGTACAGTGCAGTGTCGAGGATCCGCTGAACATTTAGAATTAGAAAACAGGACAGAAGGTTGTCCGTTAGATGTGCATTGTCGAACGAGATACCGATCGACGGTCGCCTGAAGGTTCCTTTCGTCGCCGACCACAATTAGAAAGTGGCGTGCAGGCTTCTTTTTTTGAAGGAGCGTCACCATCAGGAAACTGTCAACTAACCGATCTGTTTTAGGTGCAAGTTAAATGAATACTAGTATGGATGCCTCAGCGGCGCTGCAAATTGTGCCTAGCGTGACGTTTGGGATAACGTTCTGACACTGTTGTTTGGGATAGCAACCTGGATGTAGCTTGTGATAGCCACCTTCATACCTAGGACGAACAAAGACGTTTGGGATAACGCTGAAACATTGGACTCGGTTGCTGGGGATAGCAACGTGGACCTGGCTTGGGATAGTCAGCTCCACACCAAGGACGAGCGAATACGTTTGGGATAACGTGGAAGCACTAGACTCGATTGCTCGGGATAGCAACGTGGACCTGGCTGGGGGTAGTCAGCTCCACCCCAAGGACGAACGAATACGTTTGGGATAACGCGGAAGCGCTAGACTCGGTTGCTCGGGATAGCAACGTAGACCTGGCTTGGGATAGTCAGCTCCACACCAAGGATGAACGAAGACATTTGGGATAACGTTGTAATATTGGACTCGGTTGCTTGGGATAGCAACATGGACCTAGCTTGTGATAGTCCACACCAAGGACGAATGAAGATGTTTGAAAAAATGACTCAATACTGAACTTCGTTGCACAAATACCATCACCGAAAGCGTTTGGGACAACGTAGCAACAACGCATGGGCAACAATATTTTCTCATTTGCTTGTGATAAACAATTTAATCTGGTTTGTGATAACCATGGAACAGTACTGTAAGTTTCAACATGGCTGGCTAGGAAGTTGTTAAGATATATTTTTCCTTGTTACCAGATAGAGATTAGGTATGTTATACGAGGTTAGAGGTACATTTTGCTTGGAATAGCAAATTCTATCTGGTTTGTGATAGCAATGTAGCAATATAACATTTTTCATTTATAACAGATAAAAATTGGGTACATCTATGTGAGACCAGCGGCACATCATTTGCTCAAATTCTGTTTTGTATATAGAAGTCATTCATCAAGTTAATACAACTTTTTGGAATACAATTAAGGAAATAATTATTAATTTCGTCAGGATCTTTAAATATATCCTCTACATGTTGTTTAGCATTGGAATTCATATTTATAGTTTTCAACTCTCTCCACAAGTCTGTACTAATTTTGTTGAAAGGAAGGTTTTCGAAATATCGCCTTTTTTGTTGAGCAATTTTGTTATTGACTAAATTTTTCAATCGTTCATATTCCATGAAATTTTCCTCTGAATGCCTTTTCCTACCTTTAATTCTGGCTCTGTCCGTATCAGCTATAGCTTGCTTGATATCACTAGTTATCCATGGTGCTTTTCTTCTTGTAATTTTAACAGATCTTAACGGAATGTGTTTGTTGAATACATTTAAAATGATTTTCTTGAATTTTTCTATTTTTAAATCCACATTATGAATACCGAATATTTCCTCAAGGTGTGAGTTTGTCAGCTCATTTCTGAAAGCACACTCATCGAATTTACTAAAATCACGATAAGTATAAAATTTGGGCTCCACTTTAGGCTTATCACATTTTAGCTGACAACCCATGCACTCGTGCATTGAAAACCGTGACGGATATACAAATACTGAAGTAACAAAAGATTCATTATTGCAAATAAGTGCATCTATTAATGATTCAGACTGAGGAGTGATATCTGTAGATTCAGTGATCATTTGGTTCAATTGTAGCGACGATAACATACAACGAAAATATTCAGTTGCTGGACATACAACATTTAAAAAATTATAATTATAATTAGTTTGAGGAGGCTTGTATACTGCACCACGTACAAAACTGCACCTATTATAAACTAGCTTAACAAACAGTTGTTCTATATCACAGCTTACTTTTATCACGCCCATACTTGATCTTAACAGAAATATATAACAGAACACCACCACCTCCACCAGAATTTCGATCTTTCCTGATCAAATTGTACCTTTCAATCATTAAATGATCAGAACTGACTTGATCATTTAGCCACGTTTCCGAAATAGTCAAAATGTCGAATAGTTTCTCTTCTAAAAGTAGCTTGGTTTACTTTAGAAACTAGTGATTTTATATTTAAGTGACCCAATAGACACATATCTCTCATAACTTAAGTGACTATTCTAAGACTAACCGCAATATGTCAAATAAACACTATCGGTACACAAAAGACACTTATCAATACAGTCAGTAGGAAAAAAGTTAGACATTATACAGTACCTTTTCCACTTTTGTTTCAGTCTTGGCAAAAATATTACCGTCCGTGTCCATACATTTCTAAATCCATATCTTTCAGCCGCCTCCTTGACCAAGTTCAGACGTAATTGATTAAGATCTTCTTTGATTATCACACCAGTACCTTTCAGCGACTTCTTCTTATTGTAAATGCTGCTCTTGATAACATCACTTTTAAAAGGGACCACCAAATGCCTTGGCCGACCAGAAGTGTCTTGGCTCACCCTGTATGCAGCAACAATATCACTCTCGTCTACATCGACCTTCAATTTCTCTGCAACAATATTATCTCACGTTTGTTGTGGCATTTCCATTGGGAACCTCCATCACTCAAAAAAAATCGAGGATTATTGTTTTTAGACTGTTGCTGTCCTCGTATATGATCGAGTTTTTGTTTCAATTTGTTTTCATTCGTTGCAACCTGGCTATTATTACTTGTTTTTAGCAGCTGGATCTCAGCTTCAAGAGATGCAACTTTGGCATCGTAGTAGTGGAACTTTTCAGAGAGTTTCTTTGTTATGTTGGTAATGATAGCCTCGCATTGCATTTACAATGTTATTTGATCTCCTCCACGAACGATCCCTCAAACTCTGCCTGGTTTCTGGTTGGCATTATGAAAATCGAATATAAAACACCGACTGATAAAAATTTTAAGAGAGGATTTTACTACCACTCAACAAACTGTGTTTTGGAGAGATGTTCACACACGTCTACACTCGGCGATGGTCATAGTACGGTCTTTGTCAGAATGCACATGACAGTTTAGGAAACCAGTAAAGTACCATTTTTCGGTAATAACAGATAGAGATTAGGTTTTATCAATGCGAGACTAGCGTTACATTCTGCTTGTGATAGCAAATTCCACATGGCATCAGGCAGCAGCGGTGGCCGCAGTAGCAGACTCTTCGGTCTCCTGATCAGTCGAAGTGCGCTGTGCGGGTTCGAATCCCATCCCAGGAGAAATTTTTATCTTGGCTATGGATATTGTGTTTGTCCGTAGGTGGTAGACGGTCTCTGACTGTCGAATGCGGAGGTACCACCCGGCGGATCTCGTAGGCGGGGCCAGAATGTGTGCATGTTGCATGAACACGTGTTCCCTCGCCAGAGTATGTGTGGCGTTCCCCCTTTCCCCTGTATCCCCCTATAGCCCCACGGTAGCCCATGGGTGTTTAGGCCTTAGGCCTTCGTGGTGTTTGGAATACAAAAAAATGGCTGGTGATAGCTATGGAAAAGGACTGTAAGTATGAAAATCTCTGGTTAGGAAACCATCAAAGCTCTAATGCTAGGTAACAACGGAAGTTAAATATCATTATGCCCGATTAACGTTACATTTTGCATCGGTGGCACTCGAACAGCAGGGCGCTCTGGATTGTGTTGTCTTAAAGGCCATGTAGTTTGTTTCAATAGATGACGCATCACCACGATGATGCAGCGACCTTAGTATAATTGATGTTCACGCGTTGTTCCAAGGCTGATATTTTGAGGGCAGATCTTGTTGATGACGATAGATGGATAAATTCTGTTCCATTCTAGCCACCTAAGGTGAACCCTGAGTTAACGGAAGCCATAATAGAAATTGTCGCAAGCAGGGATGGGTGCTTGGACTGCGTATACCAACATGTGAGCTGTTCATTAGCTACAAGTGGCTATACTCTATCCTCTAGGTTCAAAGAAGGGAGAGGAGTGCATGCTGGCAGATATTCACATTACAGCAAAGCTAAGCTAATTGAAAATCAGCACCTATCCAACTTTTTCTTGCCTACAAGTCTGATGGGTCAACACGTTTGATTCCTTACCTCAAGACTGTTTGTTTATAGGGATATAACACTTGAGTCTAGGCTATTGAACTGGGATCAGACTTCTCCGTAGAGATTAGGGGAGTCTCTGGTTTTTGGTCACCCGAGAAGATCCCGCATGATAATCATCCAGAACAACTGGTAGTTTTCTTCTGTGGTGAATGCTTTGCTACCGAATTGATGGGGTGTCGCATATTATTACCCCATCCTGCATCAATAGAACGGAGAGCTTCTGATTTCCACGTCTGGACCAGGTTGCGGGAAAACTATGGCAATTGTGTAAAGAGAGAAATCTTACTGCCTTCGCGTCAAATATAAAATCTAGGAGTAATACTGGTGCAGATGAGCTTTTGCGTCTGTGGGATGTGGAAACGGAGTGGGAGCTGCACCTGTCACCGTCCTGATTTTGGCTCAAGTATTCGGTGTTTCTGAAATTTCACTTCTAGAAGTAACGCAAGGAACTGATGGAGGGACCCAGGACGCCGCTTCCAATGATTCTGAAGCTTACCCTGGTTATCGTCACTAGAAAGCTGTCATTCCAATCAACATCGATAATCCATCATGTATTGTGGGCTTAGACTACGCTAGGACCTTTGTCGGGAAGAAATACATGTCTGGCTTCCTACCTTGAAATTTCTTACCTTGCAGGTGATAAGAGATCAAGATATAATTGTTTGAGCTATCAGTATTTTACCCAAAATGTTACAAACGATGCAGACATAAGATGGATTATGAAGGGCATTTACAGGCTGAGGCCATCTCAACTGAGATACAGTCACTGTGGTTGTTCGCAACTAACCAAAAGGGTTGCTGGCAAGCTGTGTAGATATTTGGATGAGGAAATCAGAAACACTGCTAGCTCTAACCTCAGGTCAGACTGTGCAAACTAATTGAAACAGACAACATCCGGATTGGGTTGAATAATACCGAAATTGGGATTTATCAGTTTTTAAAAGGCTCGGGGTCACTCAAGTGGCAACCACTTAAGTTTTACTGTATGTTATGCCCAAATATCTGTGCAAAGCATTTATTTGTCACTGTACAGTACCTTTATCATGGTGCCTCGGCTCCCAGATGGATGAAGTCGGTTTTAGCAGAGAGTGTCACAATTGGCAACCCACAGTACATGAAATGCGTCTACCTCTCCGCCTGCTAATTTATAGTAGTCTCAGGCTCGTGGCGGGCTGGACTGCGTTTCCTGAGATACGTCACAAATTTCTTATGCCAAACAAAAGCTTTGCTCAAGCGGCATTTGAGGTGAACCAAATCTCCACACCTTAAACACAACTATGTTATTACGTTATTTGCTCATTACCATGAAATGGATAGTAATTTTTTAACCAGGTACGTCATATTACCTGTTGCTAAAAGCCTTTACTCGAATTGTTACAATGGAAATGTACATTTAGTTGACACATGCATTGCGTATAATTTGTGTAGTTGTGTACAACCACGGTTTACTATTGCAGAGCGTTAGTGGTATATTGTTGCAACTAGCTTTTAACATCTACCATACGCATTCAGAATATTTACTTCGACGAGGACAGAACATAATTACGCGATCAAACGAACTTACCTGTGAGTGATGTTCGATCATAATTATGCGAACTCCTCTTCGAAGTAAATAGCTCCCTCTCTCCCTATGTATCACCCAATCGTTGCAACAACTTGGCTTTGAAGTCAATGAAGGTTTATAGGCGGCCAGAGGGGAGAAAAGTAGGGTGAGGGGACGCGGTGGCAGTTGGCTACTACTACGAGGGTACTAGGATATACATTCTAAATATTTACTTCGACGAGGACTTCATATAATTTAGATCGAATATCACTTACCGGTAACTAGTAATCGTGTAACACACTAGATCATTTTTCGTAATTTATACCTCATTGTATGACAACGTAATGTGTAGGAACAAGAAACTTTCGTTAGAAAAATGTGCTCTGAATTTTGGGTGGAGATTTCAATAGCATTATAAACAAGAACCCCTAGTTCTCTGTGATCCGAGGCGCCAATTCTTGAATGAAGTGGATGCTTCGATCCCAAATCCAATGTTAGTTTGACGCTAGAATCCATAAGGGCGCCCAAACAACAAAGGCTCGTTCCCCATATACACCGGGACCGTGAATTACTAAACCGATAATTTATTTTTTACGTAAAAACGAATTCTTTTTAAGTTGCGTGAAATATTTTTATGAAACCAAGCTATAACCAAATATGCTCAATAGTATATCTCTCACAGCTGGCTCACCTAAACTATTGCTATGACGATACGGCAGTTTTCTTATACAGTTTTCCTAGCCAAAAGTGTCCCATTTTCATCTTTACGCATTTATATTTGGATGTAATATAATATTGTCCATTTTACAACTGATCCTCGGTCTTTCTAGTACACTCGTTGTTTCTTTTTATCTGAAACGGTTAACGACATTTTGTATCTACTATATTGAAAAATGCGAAATGTTAGCTATAGCTTTAAACTATTTCATCAGCGTGAGTGGTGGCAAACTGTCATCATAAGACCAGTTTTCCTGCTTTCTACATTATTTGGAGCTGCCTCATGAACAACATATTCAGACAGTTACGTGAACGATATTTCTGATCTGAATAATCATTTGGCTTTCCTTCATTTACTTTCATCCTTAGGTACTGATATTTCCCCGAGATGTCTTGCAATTGAGCATCCATTTTTCCAATTTGCTTCATTTTCTTCTGAAACAGTTGTTATACAATTTGTATTCAGAATTTGTTTATAGCACAACATGATCTATCACTATATGAGTTTTCTTTAAAATTGACCGGTGGTCAAATCCCATATGTTTTGTGCCTGGTACCTTGTTAACCATGCTCAGGTCATCATTATTAACAAAACTGTATGATTTTTATCGGTAATATTATAAATTATATTGGCAGATATGCCGAATTTAATTTAAGCAAGAAAAATTTTAATAAGGTCAATTAAAAATTTAATTAACCATTTGACTGTTAATAAGATTCATTAGTTTAATTGAACTCCAATTCATAAATCAGTTTACTTGGATCTAGGAAACTGGTTTAATTAAAATTTATAAACTGTTTACTTAAATTGAGTACGCCAAAAATTTTTTTCCTGAAAAAGATAAGGAACCTCTGAAACATCAAAATCAAAGTTTGAGCGTTTTAAGTTCGTTAAATATTTTTGAGACTAGCTCCACAAAAAGGAAGAGGGAGAGGGAACATAATATACCCGAATTAAAATTCTTGTACTAAAAGAAGGTGTTGACATTCAGATATAATAGAACATTAAAGATGTCTTAGAATCATCTACTTCTTCGATCTTCCTAAAGATATTTTGACACAAGTTTTGTATAGTATTTTGTATCAGAGATGATTGAAAAGCTCCTCATTATTATTGATATCAAAATATGAGACTGCTGGGAAAACGTCACGATAGAATCAGTGAGTCAGCTTTACACCATATAAACAACGAATGCTTGAAATTTTTCAAAACATCTGAGATAAATTATATATATTTTTTAAAAGGTAGTTCAGCTGCAATACTTGCTATTCCTCTAACTGCTACTATTGCCAGAAGCGTTAGTAGGTGAAACATCACGATAGAATCTGTTACTGTCATCATTACAAATTAGATGCTCCAGAATTTTGTATTTTAGTTTCAAAAATGTGTGCAATTATTAAGGTGCGTTTCTAATTTAACAATA